CACCTCGCTCCTGACTTCGGATCAGTGCAGTGCACCAGCCACAGCGGCCATTGGGGGGGTGAACCAACGGTAAAGGAAGACCTTTCTCTCTGTCTCTCTCTCTCTCTCACTGTCCACTCTGCCTGTCAAATAAATAAATAGAAATGGTTCAAAGGATTCAAACAGATTTTTTATCAAGAGATGAAATTCAAATTGCCAAAGAGACACATGAATAAAGGATTATGATCACTAGCCATCAGGGAACTGAAAATAAAAACCACACTGAGGTTTTTACCTCACCCCAGTTAGAACAGCTTCATAGAGCAACCAAAAAACAATAGATGCTGGTGGAGATTGTGGGGGGAGTACCCTAATACACTGTTGGTGGAAAACAGTGTGGAGATTCCTCATATGACAGGAAGCAGGAAGGAGGATAGGGTGGGAAGTAGCACTATGCTCCTAAATCTGTATTTATGAAATACATGAAATTATTTACCTTAAAAACTAGAAAATTATTTAAAAATTGACTCCAGAGTTAAAAATCTGCTATATTTTTTTGAAATCCAATTTTTAAAAACACAAATATAAGATGAAATAGGAAAATTCCTATATAATTTAATAAGTTGAACAAATTTTTGGAAATCCAAACCAACCGATCAAGAAAAATGTTCCACAAGGAAAAATCTGGGCCCAGACTTATGGAACATTATACACTTCTAAAAGATAAATAAATAAATAAATAAATAGATAGAAAAACACTGAATTTCCCTGACTTGTTCCAAGTGGACATACACAGAATGTTTTTGAATCTGTTTTGGGAAGCTAGTGTTACACATATGATGCAAATGAGACCAGGGTATTCATAAACTGTGGTACATATATCTGAGCAAAATATGATTATATGAGTTCAATCATATAGGAAAGCATAATAGATCAATAACAAATGAGCTACACTAAAAACTGAAGATTTTTAGCATTCTCAAACAAACCCTATAAATCATCCAGGTAGGTGAAAAATACGAGGAAATTACATGACCACTTAAATAATAAAAAGCATTTGATAAAATTCAATATCCAATCAGAAAGTAAATCAATTTATAGCAGAACAGGAAAACACAGTGACTTCCTTCATGTGATCAAGATAGTCTAAAATGGAGCACAGCACACTACTTAATACAGGGCCAGTGAAAGCTTTCTCCTGGGAACAGACCCAGACGTGACTGCCTTCTCTCCCCATCTCTTCAGCACTGTACTGGAGGAGTGGTCAGGAAATTAACAGAAAAGAAACATAAAGTTTGAATATCAACTTTTAAGCAATAAAACTCAATATATGTGGAAGACACCATTATATGGCGAGACAATCCACTCTAACCCCAAGCCAAATACAACCAGTAAGTGAATTTTTTTTTTTTTTAATTTTTGACAGGCAGAGTGGACAGTGAGAGAGAGAGACAGAGAGAGAAAGGTCTTCCTTTGCGGTTGGTTCACCCTCCAATGGCCGCCGCTGTAGCCGGCGCACCGCGCTGATCCGATGGCAGGAGCCAGGATCCAGGTGCACCAGTAAGTGAATTTAGCAAGACTACCAGGGAGACATTCATTATAAGTCACAGCAAGAAACAAACAGAAAACATTAAAGGACAAAAGGCAAACTAGCAAACACGTATCTACAAGAGGAATTTAAATTATGTAATATCTTCAACATTAGTCAAATGCATATTAAACACACAGGTATGCACACTAGCAACACAACAGAGAAAAGACTCCACAACATGGAGAAGGCAAAGGCCCAGAAGTCAATGAAGTGCCAGTAGGTCAGGAAATTCTATCTCACCCAAGTGAGTGTGGCTTCAGATCACCAGGGCTGCACAGGAACATGGAGGTGACCCCGCCGCTGGGGAATCCAGCAGTAGAGGCTGCGGCTGCGGACCCCAGCCCAGTTCCTCACTCCCCTCACCTGGCAACAGTCCCCCACACCCACTATGCCAGGGAGCATACTGATTAGCTACTGCTTTATGACATCATCCATGCCCACCCACTTTGCAAACTGTCCAACCAGGCACCCTTCGGGGGAGGGGCAACCACGTGATGTTGTGAGATTGTCATATTACAGTCTCTTCCAGGCTGCACTGGGCAAAGTGTCACTGTGGTGGCTCAGCTTTCTCCCCTCTGCAAAGAGGGAGCTGGAGACTTGAGAAGCAGGAAATGTGGAGAGCTTAGGGCCCAGTGTCTGAGAAGGGAGAGGTGGAATGGGTGGATCCTGCTAGGACTGACTGTCCTGGTCCCTCAACTTGGACTCGCCCATGGGGAGCTCCTGAATTCTGCAGACTCCACCAGGTGAGGGCTGGGCTGGCTCCAGAATATGGGTGACATACCCTGTCCCTGTCCCCACCAGGGAGGCAACAGGTGATGGCCTAAGTATGTGGGTTCCTACCACTCATGTGGGAGACCAGCATGGAGTTCCTACCCTCAACTTGGCTGAGCCCTGGCTTTGCAGACATTTGGGGAATGACCCAGTAAATGGACGATCTCTCCTTGTTCTCTGTCACTCTGCCTTTCAAATAAATAAATCTTTAAAAAGTCTAGGAAGAATTTTCTCACCAACCATCTCTTGTCCAATAGCAATGGCTGGAAGTATGTTCTGAATGAGACATTAACAAACTACCATCAAAGCCATGGGTACATGGCAGGGCTGCTTGGGGCAGACAGTTCTATAACGTTTTAGGAGGAATGCTCCCTCTGGACTAAACACTCAGAGATATGCTCTGCACCCTTCCCTCCCTGCCCTTGCAGTACCCTTCAGTAATGGCTAAATGCCCCTGCCCCAGGATACTGCTTTCAAAACTGTCTGTGGCCACAGAGAAGAGGTGGCCTGGGGAGTGGTCACTGAGGAGAGAGGGAAGGCTGGGAACCTCAGGGACTGCTTTCCCTGGCCTGGAGTCCCTGCTCCTATGTCACAGGTCTGCAGCAGAGCATGCCTGTCACCTCCCCCAGCCTTCGATACCTCTGTTGGTATTGCCCACAACTATGTTAGACTTGGGGATCACAATGGGCTGTCCAGTATCTCAAGTCAAACTCCTAGGTTTGCTACAAAGTCAACTCCTCAGTGCATCCATCCCAGGCCATGAGGTTGGGAAGAAAGCCCCCAGCTGGTCAGAGGCTTCTGACCTGACCTGTGTTTGGTGGGGGGTGGCCTGTCCCCATCTGTGAGTGGGACCTGTTCTCTCAGCTGCAGCTCTACCAGCCCAATCCTTGGTGTCTGGAAGGATTCACCAATTAGCCTCTGCAGTGTGTGTGTGCGTAGTGGGGGGGGGGGTGGTCAGGTGGCTGCTGTCCCCATTAAAATGTAGTAGTGGAAACACTGTCCCCAGGCACTTCTGGGTGAGTTCTGGGCTTGCTCTACCCTCTTCTCCAAGGACTCATCCAGGATGTACCACTTCTCCATGGGCCCCTCTGACTTTTTCTTTTTTAAAAGATTTTATTCATTTTTTGAGAGGTAGATCCACAGACAGAGAGAGGTAGACAGAGGAGATCTTCCATCTGCTGGTTCACTCCCCAAATGGCTGCAGTGGCTGGAACTGTGCCCATCCAAAGCCAGGAGCCAGGAGTTTCATTCAGGCCTCTCATGGGGGTGCTGGGGCCCAAGCACTTGGGCCATCTTCCACTGTTTTCCCAGGCTATAGCAGAGAGCCACATAGGAGAGGGGCAGCTGGGACTTGGACTGGCACCCATACGCAATGCTGGTGCCACAGATGGAGAGTTAGCCTGCTATGCCACAGTGCCAGCTCCCTAACTTTTTTTTATGGGGGGTGAGGGTATGGGTATCATAAGGCTTCAGGCTCTGCCTATGTGTTAAGGGAAGGTAACCATAGAGGGCCAAAGGAGCTACACCCTAGAATCCCAAGGTTCTGTGCCTGTTCCTATCTCTCTTCTTCTTCTCAGGTAGTTTTATTCTCTTTCTGGTTGTGAAACATGGGTCTGTCATCTAAAGATTGTGAGTCTTGCATTAGCTGCACACACACTTTTATCTAGGGCTCGCTGGTTCGAGTGTTTTGCATTCTTCTCCTGCAGTCTCCATGCTGCCTCAGGGAGTACTGGCCTGTGGTCATTACAACTTGTTACCACTGGGGACTCACCCACAGTATTAGATAAGTGCATCTCTAAAGCCATTTAAAATAATTTCTGTGTTTGGAAATGAAGAGGTTGCCATTACTGATTTGACTACATGCCTGTTTAAATGACTAACTCTGGGGCCAGCGCTGTGCCGCAGTGGGTTAAAGCCCCAGCCTGAAGTGCAGGCATCCCATATGGGTGCCAGTTCCAGTCTCGGCTGCTCCTCTTCTGATCCAGCTCTCTGCTATGTCCTAAGAAAGCAGTAGAAGATGGCCCAACTCCTTGGCCCCCTGCACCCACATGGGAGACCCAGAAGAAGCTCCTGGCTCCTGACTTTGGATGAGCTTAGCTCTGGCTGTTGCAGTCATTTGGGGAGTGAACCAGCAGAATGGAAGATCGATCAATCTCTCTCTCTCCCTCCTTCCTTCCCTCCCTCCCTCACTCCCCCTCCCTCTCTCAACTTTCAACTAAGTAAAATAAATGCTTAAAAAATGACTAACTCCACCTTGACTTAATTACTGATTTCCCGGTTGGAAGTTAATATGTAATTTTCAAACTAACCCTTTTTTCTTCAATGCTAAAACATTGCTGCCTGGCTTGTGCATAAAACTCCCTTGAGTGACCTGCCCAGTTCCCTACTTCTTTACCAAGGCATCCCTGATACCAGCACTTCTGGCACTTGGATTGCAATAGGTCTTCTAAGTGTTCAAGAATTTTTACACCATTTATTAAGTTTATTAGTTTATTATAATAATTCTTATTAGTATAGATTTTTAGAAAGCTTTTTATTTAATAAATATAAATTTCATAGGTACAACTTCTGTAATTTAACAATTCTTCCCTCCATTCCCACCTTCCCACTCCCAAACTGCCCCACCTCCTACTCCCTCTCCCATCCCATTCTTCATTAATATTCATTTTTAATTATCTTTATATACAGAGCTCAACTCTATACTAAGAAAATACTTCAACAGTTTGCACCCACACAGACACAGAAAGTATAAAGTACTGTTTGAAGACAAGTTTTACTGTTAATTGCAGTAGGTTAACCATGTGATGTTGGCATTTCACATCAGAGTACAGTTGGAGTCCCAGCTGCTCCACTTCTAATCCAGCTTCCTGTTAGTGTACCTGAGAAGGCAGAGGAAGAGGTTTCAACTGCTAGAGCCACTGCCACTCATGTGGGAGACTCAGATGGAATTCTGGTCCCCAGCTTCATCCTGATCAGACTGGGCTATTCTGGCCATTTTGGAAGTGAAACAATAAATGGAATTTCTGTATCTTCTCCCTGCCAACTGCCAGTATAATTGCTGTTCACATAAATAGATTTTTAAAAAATATTTTGTATTCTATGTACCATTTTTGCATAATATGCATTTTCCATGACATTTTTGAGAACTGTTTACATGTATGGATTTTAAAATTTGTTGTATAAAGAAAAGATCCTTTAATTCAATTCACAAGTTTTTGAAAACAAGTCATATATTTTTATTATTTTCTATAAATAATATATTTGCATTTCTTGCCAAAACATTGATTGTATTTCCTTCCTCATTTTGTCCCTAATGATATCACTGTAGTTTGATTTTCATTTCTTATCTGCACAACTGTATTCTGTCTTGCAATTTCTTCTCATTTCAGTCTATCCTATGTGAAGTGATTAGATCAAACTTCTTGGAGAACAGTTTTTATGTTGTTACTCTCATGTACAAAAGTGGTTAAGAAAACAAAATATTCATATTTCATGAAGAATAAAATACAAATCTTTAGTCAGATGATTATGGATATCATAAATCCAATGGCCTGTTAACATTGTTTTGACAGGCAGAGTGGACAGTGAGAGAGACAAAGATCTTCCTTTTCCATTGGTTCACCCCCCAATGACCACTGTGGCCTGTGTACCATGCTGATCCGAAGCCAGGAACCAGGTGCTTCTCCTTGTCTCCCATGTGGGTGCAGGGCCCAAGGACTTGGGCCACCCTCCACTGCACTCCTGGGCCACAGCAGAGAGCTGGCCTGGAAGAGGGGCAACTGGGACAGAATCCAGCATCCCAACCAGGACTAGAACCCAGAGTGCTGGCACCGCAGGCAGAGGATTAGCCTATTGTTTATTTGAAGGCAGAGTGACAGGGAGGGAGATAAATGGAAGGAAGGAGAGAGGAAAGGAAGGGGAGGGAGAGAGGTAGAGGAAAAGGAGAGAGAGTGTGAGTGCAACCTGGGGTTGGGGGTGGTTCATCTGATGATTCACTCACTGAATGCCCAGAACAGGTGGGGTTGGGTCAGGCTGAAGTAAGGAACCAGGAATTCCATCCAGATCTCCCACATGGGTGTTAGAGACCTAAGTACTTGGGCCATCATCTGGTGCCACCCATGCACATTAATAGGAAGCTGGGTCAGAAGCAGAAGCAGGGTTCAGTCCCAGGCATTCTGATATGTGTTGTAGGCATCCCAAGTGGTAGCTTAACCCACTGCACCATAATGCAATCACTGGCATTTTATTTGACATTTCTTTGATAGTTATATTTCTCTGGCATTTTGAATTGTTTTCCCTAGCTGGTACTGTGATACAATAGGTTAATCTCTCACCAGTGATGCTGGCATCCCATATGATCACCATCTTGAGTCTCAGGTGCTACATTTCCCATCCAGCTTCCTGCTAATGCATCTGGAAAGAAGCAGATGATCCAAGTCATTGAGTCCCTGCCATCCACATGGAAAACCTGGATGGAGTTCCAGCTCCTGGGTCTGGCCTGACCCAGCCCCAGCCAATGTGACCATTTGGAGAGTAAGCCAGCAGATGGGAGATGGATCTCTCCCCCTCACTCTGCATTTCAAATAAGTAAATCTTTAAGAAATAAATTTATTTTTAAATATTTTTCTCCTTAGCATCTAGAATAGCATTCTCCCTTGGTGCTAGTGCTATCTGTTCACTTGTCTTTCTCAGTCTCTTAATGGAGCACAACACATCTCCCAAATGTTGACATCCTGTCACAGATGTTGGTCTCTTCTATTCTCTATATTTCAGACTCTTGAGCACCTAAATAACTCTCATGCATAACCTTGCCTATACATGCCTGAGGGCTCCAAAATCTTAGATTTCAGGTCTGACTTAACTTTCATTTTCAAATGACTGATGAAAAAGCATGTCTGGAAGACAGCATTTAGCCTGTGGTTAAAATGCCGATGTCTCACAATGGAGTTAATGGGTGTGATTCCCAGTTCTGGCCTCTGAGAGGCAGCAGTGTGATAGCTCAAATGATTGGGTTCACTGCTCCTCATCTCTGGACATTGTGGACATTTGAGCAGTGAACCAGAGGGTGAATACCCCTTCTCTTTCTGTCTTTTTGCCTCTCAAATTAAAACACAAAACAAAACAAAAAAACCCATGTCTATGTCTTCCAATAAAATGACTGACTTAATGGCTAAAAGCAGTTTCATTGTTAAATTCAGCAAAAATAATTCTTGGTTGTAAATGATATTTGAATAATGAACAATTGTAAATCAAACTTATGTAATGGATTGGGAAGAGAGAAAGATGTGGACAATGATATTTTTTTTTTTGACAGGCAGAATGGACAGTGAGAGAGAGAGAAACAGAGAGAAAGGTCTTCCTTTGCCGTTGGTTCACCCTCCAATGGCCGCCATGGCCGGTGCACTGCAGCCGGCACACCATGCTGAGTGGACAATGATTTTTACAGCTATCTGATTCACTGCGGACCTTCTTTGCCTCAGGCTGGAGGAAGACAAGTACAGTTTTATCAATAGGCTATCCAGCATGCCCTGCCCTGAGAGGAGATATGGAATGTCTTTGTTCCAAGCTGGCATACCTGGTGCTATGAACTATTTCCCAATTCTTAGTTATTTCATTTTAATCTCTGGGTAATACCCATTTCATTATTTTAATTTTACTGAGTAACTAGTGAACTCATAGGAGGTAATTTTTTTTAAAAAGATATTGTTAATTGTTTTCAAGAAGAGTTTGCTGTTGATGAGGGTTACATGGGTTAAAGATTGATGTGACTGATTAAGATTTCTGTCTTTTTTCCTGCTTCTAAAATCAGTCATTGCAGGATCACTAAATCAATCTTGTTTCTAGTATGCTACTATGCACACTGTTCCAGGATGTGCTTCCTTGACTCAGGGTTGAGCTGAGAGGTGGAGCAGGGGAGTAGCATTGTTATTATCTGACTTGGAAGCCTTATGTCATTCATTAAAACAGTAGGGAGTTAGCAGCATGCATGTCATCCTTGCCAGCTGATTTGTGAAATAGGAAAAGTGTGCATACATTTTGTTGCGTAAGCTTAGGTTAGTAGTCATGGATAAATTAGAAGAAATTAGTAATGAAAGCCAGGAAGTGATTAACAGTATGTTTTAGCAATCCAAGAATATTTTCCTAATCAAAATAGAAATATGCAGGTAATCTTTGGTAGGTCCTAATATCTACCATTTCTCCATAGGACAGACTTAACATTTGTTCATTTACAGAACTCTATTGGTCATCAAACTTGTGCTTCTTATTGTGCTTAACATTGCGCATGAAAAGAAAAATAAGGCCAAGTTTATATTCATTGAGGAATTCACAGCCTGTGAAAGTGTAGATGTAAACTGGGATGTAACATGGCAGTGGGTGGATTTTCCCTTCTGCCTCACCACTTTATATCAGGGTGAAAAAAAACCTACATCCTGTGGAGTGCAAGGCTTGCCTGTGAATATCCTGGGCCATTGCAGAGATTTCCAGTGGAGTGCATTGATGCAGAGCTATGTTGGACAACTGCAAGCCCATACACAAGGCGGTGAGCTGAAGGGCTAACTTTCCTTTCAACCAGAGTGATGGGTGGTTCTGAAGTTGAAGGAAGGTCTGAGGACTTGGGTCCCCTGGGCAACAGCCTTGAATTGTGATGGACAGATCCCTTCCCTCTTAAAGGCATCACTCTGGGAGGCCAGCACTTCAGCATAGCAGGTTAAGGCATGGCTTGCACTGCTGGCATTCCATATGGGCATTGGTTTGAATTTCAACTACTCCACTGCTAATCCAGCTTCCTGTTAATGATCCTGGGAGGCAGCAGAGGATGGCCCAGTTCCCTGAGTTCTTGCACTCATGTGGGAGACCTGGAAAAATCTCTTGGCCTAAGCCTAGCCTAGCCCTGGTCATTGCGGCCTTTTGGAGAGTGACCAAGTAGATGGAAGATCTCTCTCTCTCCTCTCTCCTCTCTCCTCTCTCTTCTCTCTCTCCTATCTCTCTCTGTCTCCTTTTGTCTCTGTAACTGTGCCTTCCAAATGAATAAATTAATCTTTTCTTTTAAGAAAGCCACCACCCTGTCTCTGGTTATAGTTTCCCTTCTCCAAGTGGCCTTGCTGAAGCTGGAAGTTAGAAGAGCTAATCTGTGCTCTAAAGAAAGGGCTGAACCAATCATTTACTCTTGGATATAATTATGCGTTGCTCCCTTTGGATCTTTAAAATTTTTTTCTCTTAGATGGTAGTCCTGAGTCATAGGCTACTATGACTATCTGATGATTCAGTTATGCAGAAATGCATAAATGAACATGCAGGATTGAAAAATAAACCAATTTTTGTTGGAATATGTTAAGCAAAATATTAAAAAGAAAAAATGGTAGAGATGTTCACATGCTGGGAAATGGAATACACACACTTTTCCCTATTTCTTTCTGCTGAATACAACTAAAATGTTTTTACATTATGGAGGAAACAAACAAAAAGTCTGAAATGTAGGAGCCAGCATTGTGTTATAGTGGGTTAAGCTGCTGCCTGCAATGCTGGCATCCCATCTGGATACTACTGTGTGTCCCAACTGCTTCTTATCCAGTTCCCTGTGCCTGGGAGAGCAGCAGAAGATGGTCATGGGTTCCTGCCTCACACAAGGGAAACCTTGAAGAAGTTTCTGTTTCCTGGCTTCAGTCTGGCCCATCCCTCACTATTGTTGCCATTTGGAGAGTGACCCAATGGATGGAAGATCTCTCTCTTCCTCTCTCTGTAACCATTTTTCAAATGAAAAAATAAATCTTTAAAAAGAAAAAAGGACTTAAATGTACAGAGAAGTAGGACAAACAATCAGAGACTAGATCCAAGGAATGAGATGAGATGGTGGAAAGTTCTCTAGCTTGTCCTTTTGCCTAATATATGTCACACTTGGACCCCAACAACTGGCAACCCAGAAATGCCAAGAGAAAGACCAAAAAATGTCCCAACAAAAGCTATGTTTCCTAAGCCAAATGATTAGGAAAGGAGCAGCCTCACAAGACAGATCTGCATAGGGTTGCCTCTCCCTGTTGGGTGTCAACATAAGCCAGCAGAGAACCTGGACTTATCTCCAATCTGAGAACAAAGCAGGACCACCTCTATAGAAAAAGCACAGCCCAAACCAGCTGCCACATGTTTGGCTACATAGGATGTAGGTTCTTACCATAATTACTCACTCAGACTCAGAAAATCACTTGTCATACCAAGAGCCAGGCAAATCTCAACTTGAATGAACCCAATATGTAGATACCAACAATGAGAAAGCAGAGATGTTAGAATTATCTGACAGGGTTTAAGGCGACAATTATACATTCAACTGCCTATATTTGCAAAAGAAATGATTGTCTTTGTAAAATAAAACAAATTCAAGAATCTACAAAAATAAAATCCTGAAACCAATAAAATAGCAATGAATTACATGCAACAAAATGAAAACTCTAATAGCAACTATAACTACTCAAATGAAGAAAAGGGGTCAGCATTATGTCATAGCGGGTTAAGTTGCTAGGAGTAATGCTGATATCCCATATGCTCTACTTCCAATCTAGCTCCCTGCCTAATGTGACTTGGTAAACAGCAGAAGATGACCCAAGTCCCTGGGTCCTTGAACCCATGTGGGAGACCCAGATGAAGCTACTGTCTCCTAGCATCCTTCAACACAGCCCAGCCTTGGTGGATGTCACCATTTGGAATAAGGAAGAGGAGATAGGGAACAAAGGGAGAATGAGATGTATCACTATGTTCCTAAGATTGTATATATGAAATACATCAAATCTGTTCCTGTTACATATATAAATTCTAAAAAGTAAATAAACAAATGACTTCTAACTTTAAAATATCACATATTTTGATTATTTTTATAGACAAAAATTGTTTTGGAACTAAGAGAAAGTTGTGACCTAGCTAAGATAACTTTCACATTTATCCTATTCAAAGAGGATTTGTTATTAAAAGGCAGAGCCTGTAGTTTATTCAGTCAATACAAATTCATGGAGCATATAGAATGTGCCTTCCCAGGCAATCAAGTCTCCCATTTGCCTCATCACTTAGTTTGTTTTATTTTTTCTCACAAGCACTTGTCATAATCCATAACTACCTTGTTGCTTTATTTGGTAACTTGTTCATGACCTTTGACCCCACAGGATTATATGTTTCACACAGACAGGAATTTCTTTTATTCCTCTGGGTGTCAGTAGGGCCTTGTTTGAGTAGGCACTCAATGAATATATTTTGAATGTGAGCTTGGGCCAGAGATTAATGAACTGTTGTGCCTTAAGAAGATGAGCTGGGTCTTGAAGAATGGATCAGATATGGGAAAATTAAGAAAAGGGGGAGCAATCCAGACAGAAGGTCATCATGAGTAAAATCCTGATGGTTTTGTTTATTCTAATAGGGAGGGCAGCAAATACATTGAAGCTATGATTTTATGTTAGATGTTTTTGGGGAAAAAATAAAGTTGTCAGGGCAGGGACAGATTCCAAGGAACATCCAAAACCAGACAGGATTTTGGAGCTGGAAATGTTTTTAGGGATCCAGTGAACTCCCTTAGAGTGAAGTAACTGAGGTCCTAAGGGGTGATGGTCACTGGGTTAACCAGAAAGTTAACACTGTATGATCAGAATCTTATTCATTAACTTAAATCTAGTACTTTCTCTAAGATAATTTGGAAATATTTGAATAGAGAATAATACATGGTAAAATGGGTGTTTATGAAAAGAAATCTGGGGCTTATGCTATGGTGTAGTGGGTAAAGCCACCACCTGCAGTGCTGGCATCCCATATGGGCACTGGTTTGAGTTCTGGTTGTTCCACTTCCAATCCAGCTCTTTGCTATGGCCTGGGAAAGCAGGAGATTGCTCAAGTGCTTGGGCCCCTGCACCTGAGTGGGAGACCCTGAAGAAGCTCCTGGCTTCTTGCTTTACATTGGCACAGCTCTGGCCAATGTGGGCAGTTGTGGAGTGAATCAGCTGATGGAAGAACTCCCTCTCTCTCTCCCTCTCCCATTCTGCCTCTGTTTCTCTCTGTGTATATCTCTGACCTTCAAATAAATAAATCTTTAAAAAAAAAAAAAAAAACAAGAAATCTGGCTCCATATGTAAGGTGAATTGGAAAAGACAATCTAATTTGAGAGAACACAAAAATACTATGAAGTAAAACTGGCATGACACAAATGAAGCCTTGATGAGGTGGTGAATATATGAAGGGGAAAGAACAAATTCATATTGGAGGGTAAGCAAGGGAACACAATCAAGGCTATTCCTTCAATGGATCTTCTGGAGAAAGAAAGCTCTTGGCCTGAGGATATTTTTGTTCAGTCCCACCTAGGCTATTTACATGATTTGTTTTCAGTTACATGTTTTTTTTTATTAAAGATTTATTTTGTTACTTGAAAGGCAGAGTTACAGAGAGGCAGATTCAGAGACAGAGAACAATAGGGGACTTCTACCCACTGGTTCACTCCCCAAAATGGTCACAATGGCCAGAGCTGGGCTGATCTGAAGCCAGGAGCTTCATCCAGGTCTCCTTCCTTTGAAGCAGGGGCCCAAGGACTTGGGCCATCTTCTACTGCTTTCTCAGGCCATAGCAGAGAGCTGGATCAGAAGCAGAGCAGCTGGGTCTCAAACTGGTGCCCATATGGGATGCCAGCACTGCAGGTGGTGGCTTTTCTTGCTATGCCACAGCACCAGCCCCTTCAGTTACATTTTTAGAATATATTTTTGATTGGTTTATTATTTGAAATGCATAGATACAGAGAAAGTAGAAAGAGAGACAGAAAGGGAGAGGGAGAGAGAGGTCTTCTATCTGCTGGTTCACTTCACCAAATGACCACACTGTCTGGGATTGGGCCAAGCCAAAGCCAGGAGCCAGGAGCTTCTTCAAGCCCAAAATCACAGCTAAAGGAATTAGCCTGATGTTATAGAGCATCCCTACCACTGAATCAGTAAGCTTTGACATGTACAGATTCCTCAATTCTGGCTTAGATGTTTTTTTGACAGCATAAGAAAGTAATTTACTACATGGTGACTACAATGTCTTTTCCTTTTTTAAAAGATTTTATCCATTTATTTAAGAGGTAGAGTTACAGACAGTAAGAGGGAGAGGCAGAGAGAAAAGTCCTCCATCTGCTGGTTCACTCTCCAAATGGCCACAACAGCCAGAGCTGAGCTGATCTGAACCCAGAAGCCAGAAGCATCTTCTGGGTCTTGCAGAGGCCCAAGCACTTGGGCCACCCTTCACTGCTCTCTCATGCCATAGCAGAGAGCTGGATTTGAAGAGGAGCAGCCAGGACTAGAATCTGTGCCCATATGGGATTCTGGCACCACAGGCAGAGAATTAACCCACTGTGCAACAGTGCTGACCCAACCACACAAATTTAACCTGATTTTTAGCATCTTAGTTAAGGTGAAGTTTGCAGTCATTCAAGGTGATTGTAACAACTCAAAAGAGCCTCTTCTTGGCCATATAGATTAAAAGAGGAATCACCTGGAGTAAGAAATGCACTGTAACCTGAGGAAATGACATTAAGCAAAGGTCTGATTTTTGGCTCATAATCCATCATGACCAGACCAGACAATATTTGGAAGATATAGGATCTCAAGTTTGTGAAAATAATTCATGCAGTAGCATGAAGGAAGGATTAGAGGCAAGGAGATGAGTTAAGAGATGACAGCTCAGAAGAAAAAGATGCCATGTCCCTGGATCCAAACTGTATCACCCAACAAAAATATCCAGTTAGAAATGAGCAAAGGGCTTGGCAGGCATTTGTCAAGAGAGAAAATTCAAATGGCCTACAGATATTTGAAAACATGCTCAGGATCACTAACCATCAGGAAAATGCAAATTAAAACCACAATGATATTTCACCCAATAGGCTCTCACACAGAAATCAAACAACAAATACTGGGAAGGATGTCATGAAAAAGGTGCCGTAATCCACAGCTGGTGGGAATGTAAATTGGTGCAACCACTATGGAAGATAATATGGAGATACCTCAGAAATCTGAATATAGACCTATAATATGATACACCATCCCACTTCTAGAATTTACCAAAACAAAAAGAAATCAGTCTATGAGAAACTTATCTGTACCACCATGTTCACTGCAGCAAAATTCACAAGAGCTAAAAAATGGAATCAATCAAGCCCTCCATCAACTGTTGACTGGATAAAGAAATCATGACATGTATACACTATGGATTACTAATCACCTGTAAAAAATGAAATCATGTCTTTTGCAACAAAAAGGATACAACTGGAAACCATTATACTTAGTCAAATGAGTCAGTTGTAAAAACACAGATACTATGTTTTCCCTGATCTGAGGTAACTTATAGAGTACCTGAAATGTAGTGCATTGGAGTGAAATTAACATTTTGAGATTCATTAATCACTTACAGCCTGTCTTTCATTGAGGAACAGTATTTTTTTTTCTTCATACTATTTGTTGAACTTCTTTGCTTAGTGTAGGATTAACTGTATGATCATTAAGTAAACTGAAATTAGCTCGTTGTAAAAAATTAAGAGTGGGAACGGCAAAGGGAGAAGGAAGAAGAATTGGAGCATGGGTGGGAGGGAGGGTAGAGAGGGAAGTATCACTATGTTCCAAAACCTATACAAATGAAGTACATGAAAGTTACATAACTTACATAAAATTTTAACAAATTTTAAACAAAGATGCCAGTAGGCAAAATGCTTAAGTACAAAGACAAATACTTATGCTTGCTGTTGATGCAAAAAAAATGTCCACAGGGGAACCACAAATTCTCTCAGAACTAAGCATCTTGTAAACATTATATGCAATGGAAAAGCAGACTCAAGACTCAAGCTCAATCAAGAACACAGCCACTATACTATAGTGTTTAAGGCTAATTTGTCTTCTTTACTGGCAGTCAATATGCTCAGAAATAAGGGGAGAAAAAGGCAGTCTGGGCTCTTGTGACTGTTGAGTCCATTCATCCTCTTGTGAGCTGCTCATTTGTTGTGGGGACACAACCTTTTTAGACTCTTGCAATATTTGCAGTAGATCAAATTCAAGGTTAACTCACATTTGCTGGCCAGCAGCTCCTCGAATCCTTCTGACCACAGCAGTGCTTCCTCTGGGGGAGGCCTGCAAGAGAAGTTCTGTAGTTAAGAGGGCACATATCAGGTCCCCTTTCCAGCTCAGCTGTTCATGTTTGTGAGCACAGGATTCTCAATTTAATTAATGAAAGTTTGTTGTTTGCTTTTCTTGCTGGTTTTGGGCTTCCCAGGAGTGGAAGAATCTTTGCAAGAAGTAGCTCAACCATGTCTTCCAATCTTTTAATCTTAAGAAAAATTCAGTAAGTGGACATGTTTGAAAGCACAACTACAGCTGAATATATTTTTATACAATAAAACCACAGGCAAACCTCTAGTAGCCACAGGCAAACCAAATGAGACAAAAACAAGTTACATTCTTATTGACATAATATTTAAACTTGGCATCCAAATTACTGAAGTTTCCTCAGTTCCTCACACTGTAGATACTAATGTTAAGAGTAAAGATAGGAACTACCTTAAAATCACAAAGATATCTTTAAAAAAGATTTATTTGTTTATTTGAAAGTCAGAAGTACACAGAGGGAGAAGGAGAGGCAGAGAGAGAGGCAGAGGCAGAGAGAGAGAGAGAGAGAGATCTTCCATCCGCTGGTTCACTCCCAATTGGCTGCAATGGTCAGAGCTGTGCTGATCCAAAGCCAGGAGCTTCTTCCGGGTTTCCCACATGGGTACAGGGACCCAAGGACTTGGGCCATCTTCTACTGCTCTCCAAGGCCATAGCAGAGAGCTGGATTGGAAGTGGAGCAGCTGGGATTTGGACCCCTGCCCATATGAGATGCCAGCACTGAAGGCAGTGGCTTTACCTACTATGCCACAGTGCCAGCCCCATCACAAAGATATCTTAATACACTAAACAGTCCAAATAGCAGATGCTGGGGCCTGGCACTATGAATTAAGCCACCCACCCCATATTGGCAATGGTTTGAATCCAGGTTCCTCCACTTTCAATTCAGTTCCCTGCTAATGCATCTGGGAAAGCAGTGGTGGATGCCCCAAGTCCTTGGATCCCTATGCCCTAGTCCAAGACCCAGAAGAAGCTTCTGGCTCCATCCTCACCCAGCCCCTGGTCATTGTGGCTATTTAGGGGAGTGAACCAGAGGTTGGAAGACTTCCCTTGTTCTGCCTCTCCCTTTCTGTAACTTTTCAAATAAACCTTTAAAAAAAGAATACTATTTCTGGCCCACAAAAGGTGGCAGTTTCTTTGCAAGATTAATTGCCTTCCACCTTCAGTCCTGGATGTGCCAGAGACCATGCATAGGGAGTGATGAATGACAACTGGCCCACAGCCTTGCAACCCTCTGACCCACAACACTCCTTTGAGGAAGACACTGCAGAACTATGATTTGTTCCACAGTCATGACTGTGTGAGAACAGCTTTATCATGAAAAAGTGAGAAAGGACTCAAAAGGAAGTCTTCAGGCAGCAAAAGCACTTCCCCTGATATGAGCAGGCATACAAGATTAAGTTAACCAGAGTCATGAGCTGGAAAACTATGCCCCCAACCCCTATGTATTCCACCTTTATTCCCAACTTGCCAAGCAGACAACTAATCACACCCCTTTGGGGAGTGCATAAAAAGCATGAAGCCCTCTGGCCTGCCCTTGCCCTCCCAAGCCTCCAGTCACACAGCCTTTTAGCAGCTCCTCTGCTGTTTGCCCACACCACGTGGTTTTGTGGTCATTCCTGCCTGCACGGTTTTTCCTCTCCCTGTGGCTCTGGCCTGTGAAGGCTTGTACATGGCCCTTGTTCACCCAATGTCTCTTGGTGTGGGGCCTTCTGACTGCCTCTGGAGCCTGCTTGCTGGCTTGCCCCACAACTGCTCTCCTGCCCACGTGCTCTCTCTCCCTTGCAGCCTCTGGTCTACTCCCTGGAAAAGCCTGGTGTGCCACAGCCGCTTTCAATTTCTGACCCCCTTCATTTTTTTTTTTTTTTGACAGGCAGAGTGGACAGTGAGAGGGAGAGACAGAGAGAAAGGTATTCTTTTTCCATTGGTTCACCCCCCAGTGGCCACTGCAGCCAGTGCGCCAGGAGCCAGGTGCTTCTCCTGGTCTCCCAAGCGGATGCAGGGCCCAAGGACTTGGGCTATCCTCCACTGCCTTCCCGGGCCACAGCAGAGAGCTGGCCTGGAAGAGGAGCAACAGGGACAGAAACAGCACCCCAACCGGGACTAGAACTCTGGTTGCTGGAGCTGCAGGTGGAGGATTAGCCTAGTCAGCCACAGCACCAGCCTGCAGATACTTCAATAGTCATTCAGATACATTATACTGGAACTAATAATCCTGGACAAGGCATTTTTAAAATTTTATATTTTTTGAGAGACACAGAGAACACACACACACACACACACACAGATGAGAGGGAGGGAGGTGAGGGGAGAGAGAGAGAGAGGGAGGGAGAGAGAGAGAGAGAGAGAGAGAAAAGAGGAAGAGGCAAAAGCATGCAGATAGCACCCATCAACATGTTCACTACTCCAGTGTCAACAGCAGCCAGGTTGGGCCAGGCTGAAGCTGGGAGCCATGAACAACTCCCAAATTAGTGGCAGGATCCACCTATATAAACCATCATCTCCTGAATCCCAAAGTGTGCATTAGCAGGATGTTGGAATTGGAAGTAGTGTTTTGCATGGGTTATGCACATCTCAACAAACTTCTAAAAGTCTACTTCCATGTAAATGGAAAGACATTTTTAAAATTTTAAAATGTAAGACATTTTTAAAAACTTAAGACTCATAAACATTGTTGAATTATTGATATTAATCTAAGAAGTTGCGATGTTTTGACCTCATCATGTAACTTGCTTGTGGCCTAGTGATTTTTGCAAATAAAGAAAATATTTGTAGAACAATTTAATAAAATATTACTGTTACTAAAAATGTTACTGTTGAGAATGATATTGATAAATCTTTTTATTTATTTGAAAGGCAGAGAGAGAGAGAGAGAGAGAAAGACTTCCATCTGCTGGTTCACTTCCCAAGTGGCCACAATGGCCAGGGCTGGGTTAGGTCAAAGCCAGGATCCAGGAGCTGCTTCTGGGTCTCCCATGTGGTTGCAGAGGCCCAAGCACTTGGGCCATCCTCCACTGTTCTCCTATGCTATTAGAAGGGAGCTGGATCAGAAGCAGAGCATCTGGGACTCAAAAAGGCACCTATTAAGGATGATGGTGCTGTAGGGAGAGGCTTAATCTGCTATGCCACAGTACTGACCATGAGAAATGATACTGGAAAATAGAAGTTCTGGGGGCAGGCGTTTTGGCATAGCAATTTAAACCACTGCTTGTGGTGTCTGCATCCAATATATGGAATGCCTGCAAGTTATTTTCACCTCTGCTTCCAGTCAAGGTTCCTCTAAATGCACCTTGGGAAGCACCAAGTGATAACTCAAGTACTTGAAACCCTGGCACCCATGTGTGAGACCTAAATGGAGGTCCCAATGCCTGGCTTCAACCAGGCCAGTCCTTGATGTTATAGACTGTTGGGGAGTGAACCAGGAGAAAAAAGATCTCTCCTTCTTTCTACATTTTTTCTTTTTAAATGCAGTTTTAAATTTATGTAATATTTAACAGATTCAATATGACATACATGCAAATCTAACAACACAATAATATAACCTTCTTCCCTCTTTGTCACCCTCCTTCCCTCCTTCCTTCTTTTTTTTTTTAGTTTTTGAGACAACATATTTTAAATTTATATTACAGTAAAAAGGGTTAATACATCACTAAGAAGTTTAACAAGTAAAAAGCTAAATGTCCCTAGATTAATGGGAATATAAATAATGGCTATGAACAATTATTGAATGGAAAAAAATGGCCATTTCACCCAAATATAGTAAATGTTTAAGTAATCATAGATCATTCAAACTACAGTAGCACAACATTCTTAACCACTGGTTTGATAAATGTATAAAACAGTTTTACAAAATTATATTTGCAGTGATACTGATACACACAGACACTTCCTTCTTTTTCATTTGTTTTTAAAATTTTCACTCCCACATATAAGGGAGAACCTGCAGTATTTTTCTTTCTGGGTCCAGCTTATTTCCCTCAACATGATGTCTTCCAGTTGCATCCATTTTGTTGCAAATGGTAGAATTTCATTTTTTTTATAGCTGACTAATATTCCATCGTGTATACATACCACATTTTCTTTATCCACTCATCTGATGATGGAAAACTTGGTTGGTTCGAAATTTTGGTTACTGTGAACAGTCCTGCAGTTAACATGGTGGTTCAGGTATCTTTTATATATTGTGTTCAAGACTTTTGGGTGTATATCCAGTAGTTGGATTGCTGGATCATTTGGAAAGTTTATTTCTAGTATTTCCACACTGTTTTCCTCTGTGGCTTCACTAATTTACATTCCCATCAATTGTGTATAAGTATTCCCTTTTGTCCACATCCTCACCAGCATTTATTAGTCTTTGTTTTTAGCCATTCTAAGAAGAGTGAGGTGATATATCACTGCGGTTTTGATTTGAAATTTCCTGATGGCTAGTGATGTTAAGCCTTTTTTATACATTTGTTAGCCATTGATACTTCTTATTTTGAGAACTGTCTATTGATGTCCTTTAACTACTTCTCAGCTAAATTGTTTTTTTTTTGTTGTTAAATTGCTGATATATTTGGGTTATATTTTGGGTTATTAATTAATTTGAGTTGTAAGTGAAGGACATTTATACATAGACTATGTTCATTATTTTAGCATGTATGTATATATTTAGATAATAATTGTAACTGATTTATCTACTTCACTGACTTTCTAGTTTGCCCTTACAGACACTATCTTGTCTTTCTGTCTTAAATTATTTTCCCCTAGTGCTTTTTCATTCTTGCGTATCTTTCTATTATCTTTTCCTGATTTTCAAAACTTTCTTTACTGGTTTTCTTGTTATTTGTGTTCTACTATATTTTTTTTCATTTCTTCCAGTTAATATTCCCCATTTTTCTATAGACAGAATAAGATCATATTGAATTTTAAGATTTTAAGCAATCTTGCAGACTAATGAAACAGCATTTATTATTTCCATCTGCATTTAACATATGATTCAAGTGGT